CCGGGACAGGGCAGAGACAGAACATGTTGCGGCAGAAAGGTGAGGGCTGTTCACAGGTCACTGCTCTGCTGCCTCTGGCTCACCTGTCCCTTGCTTCAATGATCGCAGTGGCGCTGGGGGTTCCTCACCAGTCCTTCCCTGCTAGCTGGGCTGCCCGCCAGGCGCTCCTCCCCTATGCACCAGGGCACGCTGGAGTGGGAGAGTCACTGCAGCTGGGCACGTGCCCTTTGCCTTCTGCACAGAGCCAGAGCCACCTCTAGGGATGCTTTAATGGCCAGCTCTCAGAGCAGGACCACATCTCAGTGGGCCTACGTCTCCTCTGGACACCGCCCTTAGTCCCCATCTGCAGGGAAGAGGCCTGGCTCTTGGGATGCCTTCGATCCCACGATCACACCTTTCTCACAGTCTGGAGTATCTCAGCCCCTTGCAGCCAGCAGGCTCTGATCCTCCGTGCCACGGAGAGCGTCTCAGCCCTGTGCAGCCAGCAGGCTCTGATCCTCCGTGCCACGGAGAGCGTCTCAGCCCTGTGCAGCCAGCAGGCTCTGATCCTCCGTGCCACGGAGAGCGTCTCAGCCCTGTGCAGCCAGCAGGCTCTGATCCTCCGTGCCACGGAGAGCGTCTCAGCCCTGTGCAGCCAGCAGGCTCTGATCCTCCGTGCCACGGAGAGCGTCTCAGCCCTGTGCAGCCAGCAGGCTCTGATCCTCCGTGCCACGGAGAGCGTCTCAGCCCTGTGCAGCCAGCAGGCTCTGATCCTCCGTGCCACGGAGAGCGTCTCAGCCCTGTGCAGCCAGCAGGCTCTGATCCTCCGTGCCACGGAGAGCGTCTCAGCCCTGTGCAGCCAGCAGGCTCTGATCCTCCGTGCCACGGAGAGCGTCTCAGCCCTGTGCAGCCAGCAGGCTCTGATCCTCCGTGCCACGGAGAGCGTCTCAGCCCTGTGCAGCCAGCAGGCTCTGATCCTCCGTGCCACGGAGAGCGTCTCAGCCCTGTGCAGCCAGCAGGCTCTGATCCTCCGTGCCACGGAGAGCGACTCAGCCCCGTACAGCCAGCAGGCACTGATCCTCCGTGCCACGGAGAGCGTCTCAGCCCTGTGCAGCCAGCAGGCTCTGATCCTCCGTGCCACGGAGAGCGACTCAGCCCCGTGCAGCCAGCAGGCTCTGATCCTCCGTGCCACGGAGGGCGTCTCAGCCCCGTGC